GGTTTTACAATTGTATTTCCCCAAACAACGTATTACATTTCTACACAAACCATGTTTTTTCCCCCCGCTGGACTCCGAAGAGCTCCGCTTTCCGGAGGGACCCTTGGTACCCACTTCCACATATAAAACTGATGTTGCCACCGAATCCCGGGAAGCTCCAATTTCCAGACGGATCTCTATCACAATTTATCCATTTCAAAATGTTTTTAACAAAAAATGCCGATTCCAGAGGAGCTCCACTTTCCAGAGGGACCCCTAGTTCGATAGCGCATGTGCACTTGTTTTTTTACTGCAGGCGCCTTCCCGAGCCCGAACCCGAACCCATAGCTGCTACCATTCATTCAAAAACGGTAACAGAGAGCAGTAACGGTAGTAGTAGTAATAGTAGTAGTAGTAGTAGTAATAATAATAATAGTAATGGTAATCTTCGTCGAGTTAGTAGTAGTAGTAGTACTAATGGTAATAACAGTAGTAGTCGTAGTCGTAGCAGTATTAGTCGTAGTAGTAGTAGTAGTAGTAGTAGTAGTAGTAGTAGTAGTAGTAGTAGTAGTGGTAGTAGTAGTAGTTGTACTAGTAGTAGAAGTAGGAGAAGCAGTAATAGTACTAGTAGTGGTGGTAATCGTAGTAGTAGTAGTAGTAGTAGTAGTAGTAGCAGTAGTAGTAGTAGTAGTAGTAGTAGTAGTAGTCGTAGTAGAAGTAGTAGAAGTAGTGGAAATAGTAGAGGTAGTAGAAGTAGAAGAAATAGTAGTAGTAGTAGTACAAAATAGTAGTAGTAGTAGTAGTAGTAGTAATGGTAGGAGTAGTAGTAGTAGTAGTAGTAGTGGTAGTCGTAGTAGTAGTAGTACTAGTACTAGTACTAGTACTAGTAGTCGTAGTAGTAGTAGTAGTAGTAGTAGTAGTAGTAGTAGTAGTCGTCGACATAGTAGTAGCAATAGTAGTAGTAGTAGTAGTAGTAGTTGTTGTTGTTGTAGTGTAGTAGTAGTAGTAGTAGTAGTAGTAGCAGTAGTAGCAGTAGTAGTAGCAGTAGTACTGTAGTAGTAGTAGTAGTCGTAGTAGTAGTAGTAGTAGTCGTAGTCGTAGTAGTAGTAGTAGTAGTAGTAGTAGTAGTAGTAGTAGTAGTCGTAGTAGTAGTACTAGTACTAGTACTAGTAGTAGTAGTTAGTAGTAGTAGTAGTAGTAGTAGTAGTAGTAGTAGTAGTGTAGTAGTAGTAGTAGTAGTAGTAGTAATAGTAGTAGTAGTAGTAGTAGTAGTAGTAGTAGTAGTAGTAGTAGTAGTAGTAGTAGTTGTGGAGAAGTAGTAGTAGTAGTAGTAGTAGTAGTAGTAGTAGTAGTAGTAGTGGTAGTAGTAGCAGTAGTAGCAGTAGCAGTAGTACTGGTAGTAGTAGTAGTAGTAGTAGTAGTAGTAGTAGTAGTCGTAGTAGTAGTAGTAGCAGTAGTAGTAGTAGTAGTAGTAGTAGTAGTAGTCGTAGTAGTAGTAGTAGTAGTAGTAGTAGTAGCAGTAGTAGTAGTAGCAGCAGCAGCAGTAGTCGTTGTAGTGATGCTTTTGGTGGCGGCGCTGGCAGTGGTGATCGTAGCCGGGATGCGGAAGAACGCAAGTAGGGGTCGGACGATGAGGACGGCGAGGAGGGTGAGGATGGTGATGATGATGAGAGGAGAATTTGTGGGAGGAGGAAGAGGATGAGGGCGCCTGCGTGCCATTTTCAACATTCACGGCCCTCCTTCAGGAAGGCTCGGGTGGCCGCGTTCTTCGGGGGTCAAACACGAAAAGATTGCACATCGCACGCGAGGATACGTATGATGATGATGAGCAGACGGAGGGAATAATGATGGTTATGGTGACGATGCTGATGCTAATGATGCTGATTATGATGATGGTGATGCTGATGGTGCTGATGATGCTGAAAATTATGTGGTGATATTATGATGATGATGACGATGAGGAGGAGGAGTTGTCAGAAGGTAATGGTGAAACTGATGATGTGGATGATGATGATGATGAGGAGGAGGAGGAGTAGGAGGAAGAGGATGAGAAAGATCTTGAGGAGGATGAGGATGTTGATGCTGATGCTGATGATGATGAGGAGGAGGAGGAGGAGGAGGAGGAGGAGGAGAGGGAAGAGGAGGAGGAGGAGGAGGAGGGAGGAGGAGGAGTGTGAGGAGGAGTTGTGAGGAGGAGGAGGAGGAGGCCGAGGAGGAGTAGGAGGAATATGAGGAGGCGGAGGATAAGGAGGATCTTGAGGAGGATGAGGTGCTGATGATGATGATGATGATGATGATGAGGAGGAGGAGGAGGAGGAGGAGGAGGAGGAGGAGGAGGAGGAGGAGGAGGATGATGATGATGAGGAGGAGGAGGGATGATGATGATGTTGATAATGAGGAACAGGAGAAGGGGGAGGATGAGGGGGAAAAGGTGGTGGAGGAGGAAGGAGGAGGAGGGGGGTGGAAAGGACCAGGAAGCGGAGGAGGAGGAGGAGGAGGAGGAGGAGGAGGAGGAGGAGGAGGAGGAGGAGGAGCAGCAAGGATTGCCTTTGGCCCGACCGACGGGCCCCGAGGTGGTGCAGACCATGCAGGAGGCTTGTGAGACGATCCTTGAGATCGCGGAGGAGGGGCGCCGCGACCGCATGCAGCTGCTGCGCGCGGAGCTCGAAGAGCAGGTCGCCAGGCAGGTGTGCGAGGACATCGGGGCGAGCCTGCGCCAGTGCCAGAGCCTTAGAGGAGAAGACGCTGATTCATCGATCGGTTCCCTGTTATTCACCATACTTGTACTATAGTAAAGCAACGCATTCCCACAGTCATAAGGATGGCGGGCCAGTCGGTTTGAAGATACGGCTATCGCCTCATCACCGCTCACATGCGTGTTCAACGATTTTAACGGTTCCAGCGCCTGAGGGCGTCTCCTTGTCAAAAGGTGGCTTTCGTTTTGGCGCTGCGTGCGTTCTCGTCAAAGGTTTCCAAGAATTGAGGCTGGAACTTTTCAATGTCTGGCTCTCGTCCTCCTTTTCAAAACGGGCCATCTCTTGAGGCGTCCGCGATGTATACGATCATAACCTCGGAATCGTGTTATACTTACACGGATGGGGCGCATACCCTTACAACACCGGTTTACCCTTATTGCCTGAATTTCATAGTATCACCTGTTTGTATTTCTTGTTGGAATTGGTGGGCGGATCCTTCACATAACGGGATCTCGTCTGAGGGGCATGCCCATTGGGCGCTCGTCAATCAAGCGGTGCTGTTCCCGCAGTGGAAAGGAATTCTTAACTCTTCGCGTATCCCCCACCACGACGCCCTGGGTTGCCGCTGCCCGCCGCCTGACCGCGGCCCCGCGCGCGCCCGCCCCCTCGTCGCGGCCGCAGCCCGACCGTGACCGCCTGCCGCTGGCGCTTCCGCCTGCGGCCGTAAAAAAAAGTATCCCCCACCAGTTTGCGCGCCCCGCTCTGACTGGACTCGCCGCTGGCGCGCTCGCCTGCGGCCGCTGACTAAAAAAGTATCCCCACCAGCCCATCCAGGAAAGGAACGATGCCCAGGGGAGCTCTCCTTATCGGAGGATTGTGGCACCATTCAGATACCTCGGGGAGCCCCAGGAAACTACAGTCCGAGAAGAACTGTTGGCAACGGATTCCACGCTTGCTTCGGGGCCGCGTTTTTTTCACGGCGTCTTCATCAGGGTGCGAGTGGTATTGTCTGCCTTTGGCGTCTCAGCACCATGCCGATGGACGATTTCCTGGACTCGCAGTCCACGAGTATGCAATTGGAAGTGGATCCCGCGCTCGCGTCGCGGCCGCGCTCTCTGCGGCGTCGTCATCAAGGTTCCGGTGTGGGGTACTCTGCTCGCTCGGCCTCACAATTCCTGCGTGACGCATGGTTGCGTGATTGCGCAATCGCGTGCTTGGGCGTTGACGTCGGAATGATGCCCTCGCCGCCGCGCTGGTCATAAGTCGGGGGTGTTTTTTTGAACAATCACTTGTCTGGGCGGGAAGTTCTAGGGCCAGGCTCCTGTTCTTCCCCAGCCACACTCATGGCGCGCTATCTCCCCGAGCGTGGTTAGCATCCATCCAAGGCTGGGGACAACCCGCTTGGCCAATCATGGATGAGCCCTGCTACCCGAGGGGGGGTTCGGAGTCCGTGAGGGGATCCGGAGCACGAAAGGATACGTAAACGAACATCGGTCTTTTTTTCCAATGTTACAATCGGAAGCACAGTGCGAGTGAGAACCCTGGGTCCCCTGGTAGCCGGGCTGAGTTTCTTCGTGTCCGAGAGAGAGAAGCTATGTTTCTTTCTATGGTTTTCTTGTCGTGATTATTTGGGCTCTTTCGGGATTGGCTGGCGCGGAGGCGAGAGCACCATTCCTAAGTGGTTCGGTGGACCGCCAGTTGCATTTTTTTCCTCGCTGCTGGTCGTCGTGCCCGTCGTCGCCAGGGTGTCTGTCATCACCGTCGTCATCGTTCCGGTACCGGCCAGGTAGCCTCGGCCTGGCGCCGCGGCAGTGTGATCGCGGGCGACGACGACGTGGATGACGTGGATGAATTGGGCGACGACGACCACGACGACGACGACCACGACGACGACGACGACGACGACGACGACGACGACGACGACGACGACTGCGACGGCGAAGACGACGACGGGCTCCCAAGACCTCCGACAGCGGAGATCGTTCAATATTGGCTGTGTTTCACGCAGCGCCGCCGCCGTCATGACGGGAACGCGCCCTTGAGAGCCAAGCGGAGAGCCCCTGGAGAGCCCGAGGAGGCCCAATCACATGGAACAGCACATATATATATATATATATATATATATATACGATTTCACATGATTGTGTAATATATATATATATATATATATATACGATTTCACACGATTGTGCAATATTGATTTTTACTGTCCTCTCTGCATTTTCGACTGTGCTCCTCATTTGTTCGGTTATTCCTCATTTCCTGAATTCGGCTCCACTCCTCCGTTTTTCGTGATTTCCTTCATTTTCGGTTCCTCTCCTCACTTTATCCTCGCCTCCTAACTTTCTGCCCTTCTCTTCATTTCAGGTGCTCCTCCTGATTATCCGCGGTTCTCCTCATTTTCGGAGTTCCTCCAAGCTTAATTTACGTTTGCCGCCGCCTGCCTGAGGTGACGCGTGCGTGGCTGGCATGCCCGTGGTGATCGCGCGCCCCCGTGGATTCCACTCGTTGCAAGTTGCGATAGCGTGGCGTCTCCACAGGGACCCGCGGGCAACGCTCGCGCGCAACCCCCCGCCCCCCCGTCCTGGCGGCGCGCGCGCGTGCGCGCGTGTGTTTGCGTGCGTTCGCGCGCGCGGGGGAGGGGGGGTCGCGCGGCGGCGCGCGGGGTTTGCCAGCTGTCAGGAACAAAAGCTCCCCCTGAACCCAGTCTGCGACGAGGTTGTGAACATGGCAGGTCTCCGCCCGTCCATGAAGGCTGTCTTGGCTGCCATCCGGATATTTGGCCGCAGCGGGGAGATTGGCGGCGCGCCACAGACCAGGTGCAACAGTTGTGGGCGGAAGTGCGCCCTGTCCCCAGAGCAAGAAAAGGCCGCGGTGTCTCTCGTGAAAAACCATCGCAACAAACGGTTCTGTTGTTGCAGGTACATCCGTGCCATGCTGAAGCTGAAGTGCGCCAAGAGAACGATCGCCACCGTGCTCAACCGCCACGTTAACCACTGGCGCGCCGTGCCCAAGGTCCGCGGCTTCAGCGACGACGAATTGCAGATGCGGAAGGCTTTGGTCGACAAGTATGCGGGCTGGAAGCCCGAGTGGTGGCAAGACCACGTGAATTTAGTCCTCGATGGCGTACCTCGCGCTCTGGCTCCGAAGCCTTTGGACAAGCGGAGGCGCCACGTGGCGAAATCGATCCGCCGCATGTGGATGAGGGGCGAGGGCCCCGACCCCGACTGCCACGGGTACGCAGGCGTGGCGTCCAGCTAGAGACTAAAGTGCCGCGTGGGGCGGTTTCGCGGGATAAGGGGCTTGGCTTTCAGGTTATGGACGCCGAGGCCTCAGATGGCGAAGGAGGAGGGGCCCAGCATGTCCCGGCGGTGAAGCGCGCCGCAGATGCGGATGGAGGCGGCGCGCAGAAGAAGCGCCCAATGGTCTGGCATGACTGCGAGTGTTTCTTGCAGCAGCCTGACCTGTGCGCGAGGAACAGGCTTGCGTCAGTGCGTTTCCTTCCGGCTTCGGGCGATCTGAACCCGATCGAGGCGGCGTGGGCGTGGATGCGCAGAGGTTCAGCTCTGCGAGAGCAGGGGGACTTCATCGCTGAGAAGGTGATCGCGATTACCCAGTTCCGTCAGCGGGCCGCGCAGATTTTCTGAAGAGTTACGAGAAGAAGGCGCCCTGCCACATGCGGGGTCACCTGCAGAAGCTCTCGAGGGGGGTGCCTTCTCTCCTGGCGCGGTGCAAGGCCCGCCGCTACGCGAGGCGCGGGAAGCAGACAACGCGCGCAAGACAGGGAGGATCTAGACCGATTTGAAAGCTTTTGTCCCGCGGGAGAGAAGAAGCGCCGCCGTCGCGACGAGGTGCCAACCGCGGCGGAAAGCTCGCCGCTAACGGAGGTGCGGGAAGTAGCCCGGGCGCGCCAGCTACTGCGCGTTGGGCGTATTTGTAAGTTTTTGTCTCGCACGAAAAAACAACTGCCGCCGTCGAGACGTGGCGCGCGCGCGCGCGCCGTGCATTCACCATGTCACTCTGCTCGCCGGCTGCAGGGGGGTTCGTGGCACTTTGAGACCCTGCGAGACGCGCGCATGTGCTCGGCGCCGCAGGTTCGTGGCACTCGGAACCCTCGCAAAGCGCGCGGATGCGCTCGGCGCCGAGGGCCCCGTGGCGCCGCGAGACCATTTGAGACGCAAGGATGTCCCCGGCGCCGAGGGTTTCGTGGCACTTTGAGACCGCGTGCAGCGCGCGGATGCGCTCGGCGCCGAGGGATTCGTGGCATTGTTGGGCCGCGTGAGGCGTGCGGGTGTGTTCGGCGCCGAGGTGTTCGTGACATTTTGAACCCATCTTGCACGCTCGCCTGTGCTCGGCGCCGAGGGTTCCATGGCGCTTTGAGACCATGTGCAGTGCGCGGATGCGCTCGGCGCCGATAGTTTGGTGGCGCTGCGAGGCCATGCGCGACGCGCGGATGCGTTCGGCGCCGAGGGTTTCTCGGCGCTTTGAGACCCTTTGAGGCCGCTCGAGGCCGCTCGGTACCGCCCTGGGGAGCCGCCCGATGCGTCAAATCCAGATTTTGAGACTCATCCGACCATGACCCATCAAAACTTTCATTCGGGGTAGGATTGGCCCAAGTTGGTTCGAACGTGGAGGGCCGCCGCCCGTGCGCAATCCGAACGCCGCAAAATTCTAGCAGCGATTTTGGCCCGCGTCGGCTCGGCGTGAGTGCGCTGCGCGGGCTCATTTCGCTTGCCCTTGCCCCGCTTTTCAAGTCCCGTATGGGGCCCCGCGGAAGGCAAACGTGAAACAGTTCACGTGCCGTCGCGGGCTCATTTCGCATGCCCTTGCTGCGGCTTTCAAACCACACTGGCGCTCCACAGAAGCCGAACCGAAGGAATTCGCATGCAGTCGCGGGCCCATTCCCCCCGCCCCTGCCGCGCTTCTCAGACCCCGCAGGTGCGCCGCAGGAGGCCGACATAGAAATGCCCGCGCAGTCGCGGGCTCCTTTCGTTCGCTCCTAGCACGCTTTTCAGGCCCCATAGGGGGCCCGCGGACGGCCGCCATGAAAGGTCCGCATGCAGTTGTGGGCTCGTTTCGCTGGTGCATTCCGGTTTTTCCAGGCCCCGTGGGAGCTCCGCAGAAGGCCGACACGAAGAACAAAACATTGCATGCAGTCCTGGGCTCATGTCGTTCGCCCCTGCCACGCTTTTTTAGGCCCCGTAGAGGCCCCGCGGAAGACAGAGCGACAACATGTTCGCATGCAGTCGCGGGCCCATCTCGCTCGCCCCTGCCGCGGTTTTCAAGCCCCGCAGGAGCTTCGCAGAAGGCCGACGTGAAACAATTCGCACGCAGTCCTGGGCCCATTTCGTTCGCCCCTGCCGCGCCCTTCAAGCCCCGTGGGGGATCCGCAGAATGTCGACACGGAAGACTTCACATAACAGTGCTCTGCGCGTGATTGTGGCCCAGTCCGTTCTGCTGCGCACGTTTGCCCCCGCGCCCCGCGCCCCCGCGCTGGGGGGGGGGCCTTTGAAGTCATTGCCGGCAGTGTGCTCTTTTCGCTATTTAACCGGGATCCTTGGCAGTGCCCGGCGCGCCGATGTGCCCTGCTGCCCTATTTAGTTTCTCCGGGCATCTTTCCTGTGCTATGGTTGAAAAGGACAGATGGCCGCGGGATTTTGCGGCTGGATTCTGCTGGTCTGACCCCCCGAGGCTGCCAGGCCGCCCCTGCCCCCGGGCCTGTCCTGGGCGACGAGAGTTGATCTTCAGAGTAGTTGAGGACGCGCAGGCCAGCTACGCCCGCATGACGGAGAGCATTCTCCTCTTGGGCCCGGAAGAAGGCGGTGTCGAGTCGAGCGCGAGCCCTTGGCGGATCGATTTGTGTTTGCGCGGGCCCGATTGTGGTCCTGATGTCTGCTGCGGTGGATCAGATTTCTGTCAGCTCGGATCCGATGCCGGTTTCTCGGCCTCCGCGCCCCGTTCATTTTGATCGGCGGATCCGACTTCGACCCTGTTCCAAATTGATACTTCGTATGCTTCTAAGGAACAGACTGCGGTTGGATCCGCGGACCCCGGGCCCGCCAGTGTTAATATTCTATGGGGGATGGGGTGTTTGGCTATCAACTTCCTAGGATGGGGCGCGCCCTGTCTCGCGCGCCCCCATCGATTCTCCGTGTGCGCGTGGCCCCGCATTTTGGAATCGACCCACCCTTAATCCGTGAAGCTCTTGTAGTTTTTGAAGACGAATGTGCGCGACGCTATGGCGAGAGCCACATTTTGAAAACGACCCGCCCTCCATACGACCCGCCCTCCATCCGTGAAGCACACCAATATACGTATGTATGAAGGTGTGTATATACACCCATATATGTATATGTGTATATATATATATATAAAGTGCGCGGCGCTAAGGCAAGAGCCACATTTTGAAGACCACTCGCTTCCATCCGTGAAGCTCTTGCAACTTTTTAGAACGAATGTGCGTGGCGCTGAGGCGAGAACCACATTGCCAAAACCACCCGCCCTCCATCCGTGAAACCCTTGCAAGTGTTTAAGACGAATGTGTGCGGCGCTCAGGCGAGAGCCACACTTTGAAAACCACCCGCCCTCAACCCGTGAAGCTCTTGCAATTTTTCAAGACGAGTATGCGCGGCGCTTGGGCGAGGGCCACATGTTCAAAACGACCCGCCCTCAATCTGTGAAAGTGCCTGCCAATTACAAAAAAATCGAATGTGCGCGGCGCTAGGGCGAGAACCACATGTTTAAAATCACCCGCCTTACATATGTGACACTTTTGCCGATGGTTAAGTTTCAGGGTCATAAATGGTGAGGACGTCTCAAGCGAAACGCCCCGCCCGCCCTTTCGACCGGCCTCGGGGCGCGACAGGGAGGAGTTGTAGGAAAAGGATTGGAGGCGAAGCAGGAGGAAGATGGAGACGGAGGAGGAGCAGCAAACATGAGCATTGATGATGATAAGTCGGAGGCGGAGAGGACAAGGATCATCAGCAGCAACAGAAGGAGGATGAGCATGAGAAACAGGATGATAAGCAGGGAGGAGTATCATTGAGGATGAGGTGGAGGAGGAGGAGGAGGAGGAGGAGGCGGAGGAGGACAAGGATCAGCAGTAGGAGGAGGAGCAGGAGAAAAAGGAAGGTAAGCTGGAGAAGGAGGAGCAGGAGGAGGAGGAGGAGGAGGAGGAGGGGCAGGAGGAGGAGGAGCAGGGGGCGATCCTGCGCCGCCTCGCGAGGCCGGGATGTGCACGACGCAGCTTCTCAGCACCTCCAGGAGTCCTTGCAGCTCGAGCGTCAGTTCGCAGACTGGCTGCGGGCAGCCCACCAGTTCATGAGGCCTCTCTCCGAGCAGGGTCTCCCTCCATCCACTCCATCCTCCCTCCACTCCATCCTCCCTGCTCCTCCCTGCTCCTCCCTCCCTCCCTAGCCCCCCTTCCATCCTCCGCCCCCTCCTTCCCCCTCTTCCCTCCCCCTCCCTCCTCCTCCTCCTCCTCCTCCTCCTCCTCCCCCTCCTCCTCCTCCTCCTCCTCCTCCTCCTCCTCATCCTCCTCCTCCTCCTCCTCCTCTGCCCCGTCTGTCTTGCACTCCTCCTGCCGCTTCTCCCCTTTCTTCTCCGCACCCATGCGCGCGGGCGGAGCGGAGGGAGGCGAGGGGAGGAAGGGAGGGGGGGAGGAGGGAGGTGGGAGGGAGCAAAGGAGGGAGGAGGGAGGGAGGAAAGGAGGGAGGGAGGGAGGAAGGAAAGGAGGGAGGGAGGAGGGCGGAGGGAGTAGGGAGGGAGGGAGGGAGGGTGGAGGGGGGACGTCTATCAGCGGGTGGCTCGCACATGGGCCATGGGTCTGGGCCAACAGTTCCAGTAGTTCGCCCCCGAGGGAGAAGAGGAAGCACCGCAGATGAAACCGCAGGTCTGCCTGGGGAGGCCACACTTTTTCCCCCCCGTCATCAAGTCATCGTTTCTGACTTCTTCAGGAAGGGGGTGGGGGAGGGCGGAGGGGGGAGAAAGGAGGGAGGGGGGGGGAGGGAGGCAGCTGACCACGTACGGGTGCCACCTCTGGCATTGGCCTGCCAGGGCAGCCACACCCGCGCGCGGGCCACACGACACCGCGGGCCCCCGCGAGGGCACAGTCCCCGCGGCGCCCTGCCGATGCCTGGGCGTGTGGCTTCGTGGCGCAGGGCCCCACGCGGCGCGGCCCTGCGCCTCCTTCTCCTCCTCTTCCTCCTCCTCCTGTGGGGGGGGGAGGGGGAGAAGGAGGAGGTTTGGAGGAGGAGGAGGAGGAGGAGGAGGCGGAGGAGACGGAGGAGGTGGAGGAGGGGGAGGAGGAGGAAGAGGAGGAGGAGGAAGAGACCCCAGCCCGCGGCGCGTGCCGATGCCGAACACGGCGCGGGCGGGCGACGCATCCGGACCATGCAGGACCGCAGGCTCTCGCGGCCCGGCTGCGTTCGCACGACTCGGTCCGATCGGAGGAGTCCTGGTCGGACGAGCCGCTCCCCGAGATCCTGGCGTTGCAGGTTTGTTTCGCATCGGGCGTTCTCGCCCTGTCTCGGGCCCAAGGACCCTCTCAGATGGATCCGGCTCGAAAAATGATACAGACATATGGGGTCCGGGGCTCTGGCGGTGATTTTCTTGCAATGGTGCGTGTCTTCTGCCACGTCAGATCTGAGGGTTCGTACCCCGCACCGCTCTGGAGGGCTTGGTAGCACAGCCGGCGCGGGAGCTGCGGTGGGCGGAGAGTGCAATCACGACTTCTCCTGCCGTGAGCGGGGCAGCATGCCAGAGGCCGTTGCCGATGTCAGCTGTCATTCACCCCTGGCGGGGCCAGCCCCGGGAGAAGCCGGCTGCCCTGTCGGACCTGCACCCGGGCGCGAGAGAGAGAGAGAGAGATCGGCGTCACACCGACACGCCAATGCTATGTGTGCGTCGCCTCCTCAGGGGCGGCGCGCGCGCAGGGAGCTCTTGCAGCGTAGGCTCCGTTTCGGGCGCGCTCTGGCCGTACCGCTCGGGAAACGGTACGCTCTAAGACGGCTGCACCAGATTCAGGAGAGAAAAAATCCCACAGACACAATTCATCGTCGACTCCCCAGAAAATATGGGAAAATATGGGAAGTGGGGGAGAAGACGAAAATACATACGATATTGGAACATGTGGGGGATCCTGGGAGATGTGTGTATGTGTTTGTGTGTCCTGGGGCCCCATTGACAGACGTTCGGGTTGGGCGCACGCCTCCGAGAAGGACACACAGTTGGTGCTGGCATGTCCCCGTGCGCCCACCTTGGTACAGCGCCGGTTTGATACATGCTCCGCGTGCGGATCATGTATTAAACATGCAGGGATTTAGCACTAAAAACAACGATGAGTTCATGTATACATTTATTCATACATCAATAATGGGTTAATTATCCCGGCAAAGCAGCCTGACAGCGATGTGTACAAGCATATCTGGAAACATTCCCCTTAAGATTCAGGTGAGAATCCAGTTGTAGAATTCTGCTGTTCTCGCAGTCGCAGTCGCATTCGCAATGACAGTCGCAGTGGCAACGGCCTTAGGATCCAATGGAATCCTAAGGATTCCTAGGGATTCCTGAGGCATCCTTATGCATCCTTAGGAATCCACAGGAATCCTTAGGAAACCTGAGGAATCCTGTGGAATCCTGATTCCTAGGGATTCCTAAGGATTCCTAGGGAATCCCAAGGATTCCTGAGGATGCTTAGCTATGCCTACGGATTCCTAAGGATGCCTACGGATTCCTAAGGATTCCCAGGGTTTCCTAAGGATTCCTAAGGATTCCTATGGATTCCTACGGATGCCTCAGCCTGCCTCAGTTTCAGCCTCAGCCTCAGCCTGTCTCGGCTTGCCTCAGCCTCAGCCTCAGCCTGCCTCGGCCTCAGCCTCAGCCTGCCTCAACCTCAGCCTCAGCCTGCCTCGGCCTCAGCCTGCGTCAGCCTCAGCCTCAGCCTGCCTCAGCCTCAGCCTGCCTCAGCCTCAGCCTGCCTCAGCCTCAGCCTCGGCCTCAGCCTCAGCCTGCCTCGGCTTGCCTCAGCCTCAGCCTCAGCCTGCCTCAGCCTCAGCCTGCCTCGGCCTCAGCCTGCCTCAGCCTCCCCTCCTCCCACCCCCTTCCCCCCCCATTCAGCCTCACCTTGTCTCAGGTTCGGCCTGCCTTGGCCTCATCCTCAGCCTCAGTCTCAGCCTCAGCCTCAGCCTGTCTCGGCCTGAGCCTGCCTCGGCCTCAGCCTCAGCCTGCCTCAGCCTCAGCCTGCCTCAGCCTCAGCCTCAGCCTCAGCCTCAGCCTGCCTCAGCTCAGCCTCAGCCTCAGCCTCAGCCTGCCTCGGCCTCAGCCTGCCTCGGCCTTCAGCCTCAGCCTGCCTCGGCCTCAGCCTCAGCCTCAGCTGCCTGCTCAGCCTGCCTCAGCCTCAGCCTCAGCCTCAGCCTCAGCCTCAGCCTGCCTCAGCCTCAGCCTCAGCCTGCTTCAGCCTCAGCCTCAGTCTGCCTTCAGCCTCGGCCTCAGCCTCAGCCTGCCTCAGCCTCAGCCTGCATCAGCCTCAGCCTCAGCTCAGCCTCAGCCTGCCTCAGCATCAGCCTCAGCCTCACCTCAGCATCAGCCCTCAGCCTCAGCCTCAGTCCTCAGTCCAGCCTTCAGCCTCAGCCTGCCTCAGCCTCAGCCTCAGCCTGCCTCGGCCTCAGCCTGCGTCAGCCTCAGCCTCAGCCTGCCTCAGCCTCAGCCTGCCTCAGCCTCAGCCTCAGCCTGCCTCGGCGTGCCTCAGCCTCAGCCTCAGCCTGCCTCGGCCTCAGCCTGCCTCGGCCTCAGCCTCAGCCTCAGCTCGGGCATTCAAAATATGGCACAGGACTGGTGTTCTGGGAACACGAAGATCACGAAGTGGCCCACAGCTGGCTCCGGGCATTCAAAATATGGTACAGGAATTGTGTTCTGGGAACACGAAGAACACGAAGTTGCCTCCAGTTGGCCCCGGGCATTCAAAATGTGGCCTGGGAATGGTGTTCTGGGAGCACGAAGATCACGAAGTGGCGTACAGTTGGCTCCGGGCATTCAAGATGTGTCCTGGGAATGGTGTTCTGGGAACACGAAGAGCACGAAGTGGCCTACAGTTGGCTCCGGGCATTCAAAGTTTGGCGTGGGAATGGTGTTCTGGGGAGTCCCCGGATCCTCCCCGGCACCCGCCCAGACCCCCTTGGGGAGTCCCGGGGAGTCCCTGGATTCTCCCCGGCATCCGCCCAGACCCCCCTGGGGAGTCAAGATGCTTTCTTTTGAGCCCACCAGAAACCTATCAGTCTTCGCTGTTCAGTAAAAATAAATATTTGTTAGAATCCTATGTATTAAAAACTGCCCGGTAGGCACAACGATGGAGAGAGAGAGGCCAGTGCCTCCAGGAAGAGCGGGGCCGCACCCCGCTCGGGCTCGCAGGGCGGCGCTGCCCCGCGGGGGGCTCCCCTCGGGCGGCCAGGGGGACCGCGACAAACAAAGATGAAAAGACGATCTCAAGGCAACGCTTGAGTCGGGCACGTCTCTCTACAGGAGGAATATTCGGAAACAATAAATTATCCCGGCGAAGCAACCTAACAGCGATGTGTAGGTGCATATATGGAAGCATTCCCCTTAAGATTCAGATGAATCCAGTTGTAGAATTCTGCTGTTCTCGCAGTCGTAATCGCATTCGCGATGACTGTCGCAGTGGCAACGTCAGTCGCAGTCACAGCCTCAGCCTCAGCCTGCCTCAGCCTCAGCCTCAGCCTGCCTCAGCCTCAGCCTGCCTCAGCCTCAGCCTCAGCCTGCTTCAGCCTCAGCATCAGTCTGCCTTCAGCCTCGGCCTCAGCCTCAGCCTCCTCAGCCTGCATCAGCCTCAGCCTCAGCCTCAGCCTGCCTCAGCATCAGCCTGCCTCAGCCTCAGCCTCAGCCTGCCTCTGCCTCAGCCTCAGCCTGCTTCAGCCTCAGCCTCAGTCTGCCGTCGGCCTCGGCCTCAGCCTCAGCCTGCCTCAGCCTCAGCCTGCATCAGCCTCAGCCTCAGCCTCAGCCTGCCTCAGCATCAGCCTGCCTCAGCCTCAGCCTCAGCCTGCCTCAGCCTCAGCCTCAGCCTGCTCAGCCTCAGCCTCTCAGCCTCAGCCTGCCTCAGCAGCCTCAGCCTCAGCCTCAGCCTCAGCCTGCCCATCAGCCTGCCTCAGCCTCAGCCTCAGCCTGCCTCAGCCTCCTCAGCCTGCTTCAGCCTCAGCCTCAGTCTGCCTTCAGCCTCGGCCTCAGCCTCAGCCTGCCTCAGCCTCAGCCTGCATCAGCCTCAGCCTCAGCCTCCTCAGCCTCAGCCTCAGCCTCAGCCTCAGCCTGCCTCTCA